ATAAAAAGTTACTAGTTACCGATAAAATATAACTAAATAAAGTTAAAAGATAAGAGTCTAAAAATGTAACTAGATAAAGTTAAAATTATTTAACTTTTTAACTTTTTAACTTAACTTTTATCTTTTTAACTAGACACTACCCAACCTTGATACATATATATATTTACAAGAAGAAACAAAAAATATAACTGTATTCAAACTTATAATATCGTATGACTGCCGTTTTTTCCCCTCGAATTTCACGCTTCTACCTACAAAGGTACATGAAAAGCGCTTATACAAAAGCAAATTTATATAAAAAACTACATAGCACTTTTGAAAAAAGATATATAATGCTCTATTAAACTCTGTTTTTTATTCACTATAATAGCGCGCGTGCGCATACGACAATCTACTACCGTCATTACGAGAATCGCTTTTTCTCATCAACTAGACAACCATAGTCTGAATGTCTTATATATTCTTTTTCGTACTTTGTTCATTACTAGGTTTTTTAATAAATAAATAAATAATAATAAATAAATAATAATAAATAATAATATAATAATAAATAGAATATATATATAAATTTAAACAATTCTATCACACAAATATATAATGAGGTTATAGAAGAAAACTGTAGTAGTAAAAACTTGCTTATTTTTGACAACCAAAAAAGCTATTACTTAGCGAGAAATGTTTGCACAATATGTTTATTTTTGTAGAAGCATTTTTGATTTGATGCAGTAAATACGACACCAGTGGAAATTTTAGAAAGATCGGTTTACAGGTCTTTATAGTCGATATCCAATACCCTCTTAAAACCTTTTACTCGCGTAGTTCTTAGTCAGCTCTTTGCCTTTGTTGACTTAGTCGCTTAAAATTTTGATCTGAGCGTCGTACGTCGCCAATCGCCAGCTGTCTCTCATTTTCGAACGAGAAAAGACGCTTAAACCGTTGTTAACATTCACGTGCGACATCATGTTACGTATTTGGTAGTGCTTTAAGTGAATTCCTTACCTTACGAGCGTTAAACAGGTAGTTGAAGAACTTCACGAAACACATCAGGTCGATGATGAATAGGAGACGAACATTCGATCACGAGATCCCAGTCTTGCCACGAGACCGCACATCTGATGCAAAATAAAAAAGTTGTCAAAATATACTGAGAATATTGTCGAAAACAATAAAAAGAAAAAACATGTATTGCGTCTCAACTTGCAAACAGAATTGACTGCCGATGACGAAGATGAGATTGAAGGAGAGAAATTATTTGTTAAAACCGGATTGTTCGAGCCATTGGCCGATCTGCGACGTTCATTCCAATTTACTTCCGAGAACTGAAGTGTGTCTGTAAAACTGATCGCCAAAGTAAATCTTCTACGTTTATCTCGTATTCCGTCGGTGAATATCCACCCAACGTGTAATGATAACGGTGGAAATTTGCGTGGCTGATGACGGCGTGTTAAGAAGAGCGCGATCGATCGCACCGTTACGTAAGTAACCACGCACTATTGCGTGAACCACACAAAGGACACAAAGAAGAAAATTAATTCCGCGCTCGTGCGTGTATACCTTTGGAAATATCTTTTACAAAAACGAAAGACTTTCGGTTGCTGCTGAAAAAAGGCGAACTGTTAATAAAAAAACTTAAGGCTTTCTTGAAGTAATAACTAAGAAATGAATAAGATTAAGATCATACGAGCCACTTTGCAGGATGTTATGCTGAAATGTTCTATTATATATATATATATATATACATATACATATGTTCACATGTAAATTTTTACACGTGTTTTTTGAATTGAAATTTCAATTCTTAAAATCATACAGCGGCGAACTGCCGCAACTTCTTGTATCGCATTGCACATGTTATGTAACGAAATAATCAACAAGTACGTATACTAACGTAAGATTAATATTTAAAAATTATTTTAGTTTAAAAATATTTCAATCGGTGCGCCAAAACAAAATTGTACACGCAGGTATGTTTTTTTTCTTTTAACGTATATTTACACAAACTAATGTTTAAAAAAAAAAAACCAATCAAGATAGCGTAATCACTATATAAGTTAAACTATGGTTTCTCGTTGCGCGCGAGATTCATTATAGTTGCATTGACGTGAGCACCGTAAAGTAAGATATCGACACTTGCAAGATCTGCAATAATAAATAAAATCATCGTAAGAACGTTCTGATTTTTCAAGTCAAGTGTTAATTGACTTTTTATTTATTGCACGTTTTTTTTTCTATTGCACGTACCGAGCTGAAAGTTTCCAGCGACATTACGTACATCTTGCCCGCTTTTATTTGGCACGGCTTCGAGGCGCGTAATAAAGTCAGTCTTAACAAGTGTCTGCATCTCACCGAAGTCGCGTACCAGTTGCAGCTGTAACTGCAAATCAATTTTTCAAATGCAAACAATCGCGTGTGTTTCGTCAAAAAAAAAATTAAAAAATAACGATTACCGCTTTAAACAGTTCGCGAAAAATAATTTGTGCGAAACAATCGCGCGAAGTTACTTGTTTTTTTTTTCAAAATCTTAACACTTGGAAGAAAATTAGAATCTTTCGATTTTTTTATATTATTCGCTAATTAATACACACATTACTGTCTGAAATTCGTTGCTAGAATCAATCAGTAGTTGAGAGGTCAAATTCAACGACAGAAGGTGGAACAATTGCGCCACATTGTTGGCAATTATTCTGATAATTTTATCCAACTGAACGTCCACCACTATCAGCTGAAACAACAAACATTTTATTAGATACCGAAGCGCAACAACTTCAAGCAAATTGAAGAAAAAAAACAAATTTGTTCACCTCAGCCGCGGTGAAACTCAAACATACTAGTGTGTTTCCAAGCACGAAGAGGAAAGACGTTGCAAAAGTGGATGAGAGCAGTTCGAAAAAGCTGCGTATAAAAAAAAATGAGATGTCTTATATCACATATACAGGGTGTCTGAAATATTATGACAGTACCGAGTACTTACTTCAATGCGTGTTTGTACCACTTGATGCAGTATACTATGATGTCGTAATTCTTGTCGTCCGTTATGTTCGAGCTGAACAATACGTCTGTGCGTGCTGGTATTCGCTCCAAGTTGTATCCGATAAAAGCAAAAATACGTTATATACGTTTAACATCGTTTATAAAAATGAAATTATTCTAGACAGCACACGTCTCCAAAAGACGATTTAAAATCGTCTTATTGTCTCTGTTATTGTATCATATTATTTTATTATTAAATGTTCGACATTTTCAACGGTTTTTTTAAGTCGTCTTGTAGTCGATCCGCTGTCTGGAATTTCGAAAAAAAAAACAGCGAAACTCGCCGTATATTCTCGAACAGCGCGCAGACATAGTTCACGCAAAGCATGAAGAAAGTGTCGAGAGCTATCGGTACCGCAACTATGTAGAACACCCTGATGAATCCGTGAAACATCAACAGATTGAAGTATTTGTCCATGTCCACAACGTGTTCCAAACGAATACAGAAATCTGGCTGAATAGGTGTCGTTCGTTGGCAAAAAGCGATACACTCCGTTAACAACGATTGGCATCGTGGTGTAAAACAACCACATCATATAAAGACCGACTGGAACCGAGCGGACACACACGTCTCGTTTTTTCATGAATTTCCCCCTCGTAATTTAATCGTATCTCTGATGTCTCGATGGTTTTTTTTTAATATGTTTACAATAACACGAAGAGTGAATGTGTCAATTTTTACGATAAGGACAACTCACACGCGTACTGCTTGAAGAAAATCTTGCTCTTCTCCGCGTAACTTCGCAATATCTCATTCTCCGGACCGTTTTGCTTCATCTTCCAAGTTTCCTCAATGTCATCCAGAAGTTTCTTCATCTGCAACTCGAAAAAAAAATCGTTCGATTAAAAAAATTACAAAATAATGATTAGTTTATTCGCACTTTCAGGTAGAAAGCTTATTTTTACGGACTTTGTGCTTATTGAAGAAACAATTGGTTAATTTCACGATAATGAAGCTGTTCACCAGCAGCGGCGAACTGTTCTCCATGACGATGTTTAAGTTTTTTATCCCGGCTATCAGGCCCCAGAACTGCGAAATATCAGAAACATATGTTAGAGTTTGAGTCTTGATGGACGCGCGTATATATATCGTGAAACCCGTTTTTTAAACACCTCGAACGCCGTCAAGCTGAAAAGAAAAAACAACGTGATGGCGAGCATCACGTTGGCTCTCAGTCGCGACTGATACGGCCATTGGCCGATAACGATCAGAAAGTGTTTGTTCAGATAATAATAGCGGTTGTTGTAGATCGTCGACATTTCGCGTTTTCATCAAAGACAACACTCTGTGATCGACACCGATCGCGCGTCTCGTCGAATATTTCAATTCGAACGCGGAAGAGACTTTGCAAGTCTCATAGCGCATACTCTCTGAAACAATTTCGAAAAGAAAATTGCCGTGTCTGTCGAGAAGCGACGACTTTAATGACACGCAATGGAAAACAAAGCGCGTCGCATATTTATGAAGAGTAAAGTGAGTCGTGGGTTTCTCTCTCGATACACACTTTACTATCGACAAGGTATAATCAGACGGTTGTGTATATCCATCGAGTTACAAAGTGAGCACACACCGTGTGAGACAGTTATTAAGTCTTCTATCGAAGTGAGGACAAAATCTACACGACTTTCTATGTCTTTGAAGTAAATAGAAATTAATTGGAGAATTTTTTATTTATTTATTTTTTTTTAATGCAGAATAATCGATTCTCTTTTAAATTTAGCGCGATTTTATACAATATCTGTGTTATAAAAAATCAAATGTAATTATATTTAAAAAAAGTACGAACGTATCCAGCGCTACTGCAGCAAATAATATTTTTAGGAAAAGAAAAATTGATAATCGTATAAATATATTTTTTTTTTTTGTAGATTTATAAAGTAACACCTTGTAAGTCTCTTGTATTTTCAAATGCACGCGGTAAAATAACGAACGTTATCTATCTGCGTTAATGATTCGATATATCTACCGGCGATACGATTGCTTGTCGATATAGAAACGTTATAAAAAAAATATTACTAAAAAAAAAATAGAGTAATAAAAAAGTTGCTCTGTTTCTAGGTTTAAGAATTGTTTACATTATAATTGTAAAACTTGATAAGTTTGTTTTTGATTAATAACTATTGTCCTGTCTCAGAAAATATAAGTGAAAAATAAAAAGAGAACTGCGACGACAAAAGATCAATAATTACCCGTGCAAATACAACAAAAAATAAAGTATGTTTATTCGTCAATTGTTTTCTCGACGATCAACTTACAAAGAAACCGCAAGACCGCAGATGGCAAAAACTCACATGTTATTATCCGAGTCATTAACGTAACGTACGAGACAGATGTTCTCATGATCTTAAACACAATACAATAATTATGTTAAGTATTTTTTTTCTCTCGTCGAAATTATGCAACTTCGCAAAATTCAAACGGACTCTTCGAACTGTTGTTTAATTTGAACTAAAAGCAAACTGTAGAGCAACAAACTTTATTGAGATCAATACTAGATCTAGAGGTATGTTGGTAAAAAGTGAGACAACATCGAGAGAAAACAATACGTCAGAATCACCAATATGTAAGCCAAACAAACCTCCGTAAAGATTAAAGCTGTTGAGTATAAAACTACGAGGTTTTGGTAAGTTCATATATAAAATACTATGTAAAAAAGTTGCAAAATTAAATAATGTAGTGTTGGTGCAAGAAACTATAATTCTATATGAAATATTTGGCTTATGTATCTTAGGAAGTCCGTATGTCCTAGAGAGAGATTTATCATTGCACATCAAAGAATAATATTTGTTCTTGCTTGATGTAATTCGCATTTTTCCAAGCCCTCAGACACTCGTTCAACCTATTCTCAATTCTTTTGGCAGGATTCTTAATTTCGGTTTTTATATACGTATCCATGTCACTCAACATGAGTTCCATTTTTTTGATATAATCATCTCTGTCGACANCNACTGTGATATTGCCCTTNTCAACTCTGGTGAACAAAATGTTTGGATGGTCTTTGATAAAATGGTTGGTAAGCTTCGCAATCTCAATAGTATTTCTTTCAAAATTGTTTAAATGTGGATGTTCATCTATAAAGTGTTTGAGTGACTAAGAAAACAGTGAGCGGATTCGAGATTTGGTAGTCTGATCAGATAGTCTGATGTTGTTTTCGACATCCTTTATGATCTCCAAGGACGTCCGTCCTCTCATACATTGGGAAGATAAGGCGAACTTATCTCCCAGCGAGAGAAGATCACGGATAGCGTCAGGTATGTCACAAGAAGATAGATTAACAAACTATTTTTCTTTCTATTTGTTTATATTGAAGTCATTCAAATAAGTAGGTTTAATAAGTATCTCATTTACACGAGTCTTATCAGTAAGTTGAGGTCCATTGAATGAAAAACAAAATTTAGAGCGGTCATTAAGATCAGTGTCGGTGTTGACCGGGCCAAGTCACAACGAAGGAGCCACTTCTTGTATGGCTGTCGGCTGTAGATGATTTTTTGATCATCCAAAGAATTTTTTTGTCGATTCTCGTATATTTGCAATGTTTTAATTTACAGAAAGAAAGTCTTTGAGCGTCAACGAACTTGTTCCAACAATAGGTTAGTAAGTTCGCAAAAAGAAAATTAGTTACATTGAAAAGTCATTGAAAATTAGTTACATTAAAAAGCGGCGAAGTAAAAACAAAGAAAATTGTGCATCTTTAATCTCTAAGTTACTGTAGTTTTTGTTTTGGTAGTTTCGGTAGTTTTTGTTTTGTGAAATACGTGAAAGACGTCATATCATCAAAGTTGTTATATGTGACAGTACTTATCGTGTGCATACATTAAAAATACGTTTCACAACTTAAGTTGAACATCGAATGGTGATAAGGCGCATATACATATATATATCTACATTTAATATAGATAATAATTTCTAAAATTTTCTTAATTCAAAAATTTTCTTAATTTTATATAGTAATAAATTTGTACACAGACAATCACTGATACAGATCTTAAAGAATATAGATCAAAACGTCTGAACCAAATACAATAAAAGAATAACAAATACAATACACGAAAATCTTGTATAATTGCTCGTATTGCCTAATCCGATTATTTAATGTAGGAACTTCACAAATACAATTATTTTCTAGAAAAAACACGATGACACATTTGTTACAGATGACATACGTTGTACAGAATACGTGTCCTCTTGCATTATTAAAAGAAACATAGTAAAAATCCAGACAAAGAACTGAAAGAAAATGTTATTATAAAGACTTTTGTTTAAAATTCTGGACCGATTAAAACTAATATTTCTTGATTTATTTGTAGTACTGAAATGATATTACGCACTAACCGAACGGATAAATTTGTAGCCAAAATAAAATAAACCCATTCCGCTNAACTTCAGTGGGTGAAGCAATATTTGCAGACCAAACTGATAAATCTGTATTAAAACGCATATTATTATAAAACAGAGATCTTAAAAAAAACAAGTATT